TAGGAGCTGCCAAACCATTTCTGGGACTGTAGCGAACTCTGCTGCATCCATTCTTCATCCCATCACCAACTTGAGGGCTGTAAGGAAGAAAGAAATAAGGAAGGAAAGGAAAAAAAGGAAAAGAAATCTATTAAAAAAGATTTATGTATGGGAATTTTATACTGGCAATCGGGAAACTAAGTTCTGCAGAGATGGGCATTTAATCTATAATTGATTTGTATCTACTTTTGGGTAATATACATGCCCTGACCCTGTATTTTTGCTACAACAGACTTGCACAATAGAGATGCTGAATAGCTTCTGCATGTTTTGTGAAGAGGCAGATGGCTTGAATAGAGAGAATTGTTGTCTAGCAATTGGAAGGTGCTGATACTGGGCTTCTTGCATCTTCCTTGTTGTGAGCCAGTATGTATTACGTTTTGAGATGAATGTGTGGATTTTTTTAGTTGAGAATAGACAGATCTCTGCTCACATTTCATCCTTGGTTTGTAATAAATTTCTAAAGGCATTTTGAATTTAAGACCGTAACCTCAGTCATTTAAATGAATGGAACTGTGAATTCTGGGAGATTTTCAGCAAAAATTCTGACTTATGTTCTTTTCTAGTCTTGATACATTATTTTCTCCATGCCTTGCTATGATGTGCAATCATCTTTTAATTTGAGAAGCTGGATTCACCTTAAGTCACAATTATTCTTTGAGAATATCAGCATCTTTCTGGCTAATCCCTCTCAAGGAAGCCATTAACTTAAATTGTAAGTTGTACCTCTATTTTTCAATGGCGCATGCTTGTTATTGCTATTGTTCTGCTTATCAGCATACCTCTCTTTCTGGGGTTGTAATTTTTCATGCTTCAGCATCTCACCACACAAGTACAGCTATGGTTTCCAACCACATAATTGTCCAATCGCATAATTCCAACCAGAATAATTGAAAAAGAAATTTGCAAAGTCTTTATTCAGGAGGCTTGTCTCCTAAATCATGTTGAACTGGTAATAAGATTCAATAATTGACCTAACTTTAACTGAGCAAAATGAGCCTTTCCAAACCTCTAATACAGAATTACACTAATCAAGTCCAGAACCCCTCATGATAGAAAATGCTGAATTTTCTACGCAGATTAGGAGCTGTTTGAGTTCATACCCCGAGGTGGAAGTGAGGCCAGCTACGGGGATACAAGAGCATAGACAAGGTTCTGTGGAGAGCAGCATTTTTACTTCCCCCCCCGCAACTTTTTAGCCCCAGGATAGCTAAATACTGACTTTACTAGCAATGGAACCAGCAATGTTCCGCAAGCCAGTCCTCAGCCATGAGTGCCAGGGATGCCTTTTCCTTATAGTGTGAGAGCTGGTATAAAACCTTGCAGGAAATTTTCAAGAGTACTTTGAATACTGCTAGAATGGTACTAGGGGACTTGGTTGACACCAAAATCTGGTTTTTTTTGTTTCTTCAGGTGAGATCATGAGGGATGGGTAGCAGACCTTTGGAGAGTGATTAGTTATTTTTGTTTTACCAGTTCTGAGCTGGATTCAGTGTATTCTGGTCACAAGTTAGGCAAAAAAGCACACGTCCAAGTGTGACAGAGTGGAAAATAGCATGTGTGGCCCATAGTTCTGGTAAGTTCTGTAGAAGAATTATCCCACTGGCTAAATGATGTTACATTAGCCAAGCTTTTCCACTGCTTTGAGTAGTCTCTCTGCTTCCAAAAAAAAAAAAAAAAAAAATCTCTCCAAATGAACTGGCTATTAATTGAAGGAGACCTCAAAAGACCCCTAAACAATCCCATATACTAATTAAAGACAGATCAAAGTGCAGTTTCTCCTATTCTCTCTGGAGGCAGTTGAATTTCTGAGTGGCTTCTTTCTGAGGGAAAGATAATTCCTCATGGCATTTCCTTGGTTTCAAGTGCAGAAATGCACACTGTTTGCTAGCTGGCAGCAAAAGATGTGGGTGATGTATGAGGAGCAGCCCCGACCAAATGCAGGAACACGCTGCTGCCATTTAATCCAAGACAATATATTTCATGATCATAGTCCTGGAGTTTTTCAGCAACTGTTTTAATGTATGGGAAAGTATTTGGCTTGCTTTAGAAATGTTTCCCATTTGAAAACAAGCTGCAGTGGGAGAGCTGGCAGTTGCACAGGAGGCTGCTTTGTGAAAATTGTGTTTCCCTGAGCTATGCAGTGGGGCTGGGTCACAGCAAGGGCTCTTGAACAGCTCTCGGGAAAGGCTCCAGGCTGTGCAGATCTGCCGATGGAGAACCCCTTTGCCTGGTCTCCAGAGGATTGCTCCTGCTTCACCGCTTGCCAGAACAGGGATTTTGGAATGGATTTTATTCCTGGTTTCTGTCCCTTGGGCAAGGGGAACGTGCAGAAGAAGAGCCAGAGCTTGGCTTACGCTCATGAATTAAATGGGACCGTTTTAAATCTCCAGCTGTGGAGGAGAAGCTCTGTTCTATCTTTGCTCTTAATTCAAGATTATTTTTCTTAACCTCAGCAAATACAGAACCACTAGCTGGGTCTAATTTATTAGTAAGCAATACCAAGACACCTGGTCCTGGTTGAGAAAGCACCTAACCAGGTGTTTGCCAAAGGTCTCACGCATGAGCTCAGGTGATATACCTCATTTTCTCTGGGGCCCACTATCTGCACAGAAAGCAACAGTTCACCCTTTCAGGGATGATGTGAGGACAAGATCTACTGCAGTTGTATGGTGCTCAGAGGATAATAATTCTGGAAGGGCCTGCTTGCTTCAGCCCTGGAGAGATTTGTTGCTGTGCCTAAGCCCTTCTGGAGACAGCTTTATTGTTCAGCATAGGCATGAGGAACAATATCACAAAGTCCCTCTGCTACCCTAGTTTGCAGCTTTCCTGGGCTTCTCCCTTGCCTTTGGTGCTGGTTCTATCTTTCATGTATCTGCAGCTTCTATCTCAACCCCTTCTGCTGCATGAGGCACTGCCTACCCTCACATCTGCTGCAGAACGGGCCAGCTCATGCTGGCCCTAAAGCCTGCACCCAAACCTGCCATTTTACAGATTTTTTTCTGGACCAATCCCTTTCCCTGTGGGTCAGAGGGTGTGAATGTGTGCCTCGGTGTGCAGCAGACATTGTGCAGGGGAGGTTGGTGCATGGGGCATGTGGTGGGAGCATACCCCATCATCAGCACTGTGCATGTTGCCAGTGAGGGTCCGTCGCATGGTGGTTTGCTGACAGAACACAGTTGCACCCCCAGCTGACCTCCGCAGAGCTGTTTCAGTGTGGGTACAAGGCAAGAAACTGCCTGGCTCTGTGCTTGCTGTTTACGGTCACAGTCCATGAGTCATGGGTTTACGGTCCAAGTCCATCTCTTTTGCCCTTCCTGAAATATCATCTAAACAATCATCCTTGATTCCTCTGTGTTGCAATGGGACATTAGCTTGTATCAGGGCCAGGTTGTGTTATTTGTCATGGCAGGGAGCAAGCGGTACAGTGGGAACGAGTTGAAGAAAACCCTTCAGAGGTGTGTTGACTTCAAGCTGTTCCTCAAAGTCTTTCTGTTCCTTGGAAGCTCTTTCTCCCCAACAATAAAGACAACAAATAGACATGTGTTGTGCTGGCCCAGAGGGCCCTCCTGCCACCTTGGGGTTGGAGAGCACCAAACACCAGGAACTGACTAGGAAGGAACTGTGAGAGGCTGTGCAAAACGAGCATTGGACCCCAAAGGCAGGACCACCTCTCCCTAAACCAGCCCTGGCAGTACCTCTCTTGGGTTGGGGATGGGGTTAATGGTCTTTGTAGGAAGGGCCAGGAAAAGGCAGAAGAGAAAAAATGATGCCTGGAAAATAACAATGTGAGTCAATGCTTGGTGAGAGGGGAACAGGAGAGGTGAAGAGATTTCTTCCTGGGAGCAGCCAGCTGCTTTCTCTGCCTGGTTAGGGTGTCATCTTGTGATAGCAATAGGGTCATGGCTTGCACAAGGACCACTGTGTCCTATGGTACCCCTTCCACCTTGCTCTGATTTCTGCCAGTTCTTGTTCCTGCTGTTTCAAAAGCTTTACTGAGCATAAGACATATTAGACGAGAAGTCAACCTTGAGGGCAACACTGGAAAATGATTTGGGGAGGGAAAGAAAGTACATATTTGGTCAGGTCTACATACTAGGTCTTGAACCAGCAGAGCTGTTTTGGCAAGAAGTGTGGGTTTGTTTGACTGAAATACTTAAGAATTCAATTTTAAGGCTGATTGAATCTTTATGGCCTAAAATTGCTTTATAGCTGTAATTTATTCTCCCTTTCATGCAGGAAAAGCTCTGGCAAGGGCTGGTGTTTCTGTAACTAACAACCAGAGGGTGAGCTGAGAACAAATATTCAGTCTCCGGCAAAATAGGAACTTGAGGATATCATGAAAACCTGTCGAGTGATATGTTCAGCACTGTCAAAGGGAGGCACTTCATGTGCTAAGCCTATGGACTGCCTTTGGTGGATCTTGTGGGTGCTGATGTGAGTTCAGCATTCAGGCAAGTTCATGGACGTTGAAGTACAGAGACCCCCACCTCCTGTTTGGGCAGCCTTTGAGCCACCAACTACTGGAAGAGGGATTGCAACCGAGTGTGGGATCAAGGCAGAGCTCCTGCATTCTTAGGCTTTATGGAGACATTTGCTAGTAGGCATGGTCAGAGACAGGATACTGGACTAGGCTGACTTTTAGTGTAACCATATACACCCATGGGACTTTTTCACCTCTATCACTGTAGCTACCACAGCTGTTTTTGCTAGCACTTCAGGGTAGGGTATTCATGCACTCTTGACACAAACAAGGCACCTGGTGTGTAGATCGAGCCTTTAAAGGCCAGAGTCTTCACCCTGGATGGCCTGTATGTCAGGCGGTACATCTGAAACACCATGCTGAGATTTGATATCCCATTTTAACTGGTTGAAGGCAAGGCTGCACTGTTTAAACAACACTCACACTTGGAAAGCTACCTTAGCACAGCACAACAGAGTAATTTCTAAATGACTTTATAGCTCCTATGGAATATAAACATAGCAGCAAGGCTCCGATACAGTGAGGACTCCTCCGTTCAAACCAGTCTCTGTTCTTATAAAATGCTTATAGAATAAAATTATTATAAAATTTTAATTAAAAACATGGGTTTACATGTTCTTTATAACAGAAAGGTTTTTCAAAGCCACAGGGATAAGAGGCATTTATTCATCTTAGCATAAAACAGGAAGAGGTAGAATTAGTAATTTCTAACACGCTAACCTTTTTCTAACCTTGTCCATTAGATGCCTTTAGTGTCTCTGACCTGAGCCCAGGTCTTGTCCTTTAAACATGTCTTTCAGATCATAATAGCTTATCCAAGATGATGGCTCAAATCAGGCATCTATTAAGTTGTATGGCCTTATTTCTTCTTCCACAGGTGCTACGCAATGCCTCAGAAAAGCTCGTGCATATCAGTTCCTGGAAGAAACATGATTTCTTGCAAGCAACAAAATCCAAAGAGAACCAGGAAGCCCTACCATAACCCTCCTCTGCATTTTTGTGGAAGCACCTTAAAAAAGCTTTGCAAAACAAGTGCACGTCTCAGGTTGTTAGCACAAATTAAGGAACGAATTCCTTACCATTAATATTTGGGCTTTGTGTAACTACAAGTCTTGAGTTCAGAAAGGCTGTATCTCAGAAAAAAAGGTAGGAGGAATTTTATTTCCATGAGAATTTCTTTAGAATAATTCACTAGTGACTCTCCAGTGACGAATTCAATCCTCACATGTTATGGCAATAGTTTTGCTATAAGAAAAAGTGTTTTTTTCATTTTTTGTGTGTTCAGAATCTGCTGGTAAGGACTCAATTTTCTGTGCATCCCCTTCAGCACATGGTGGTTGTAGTTCTTCTTCTGGAATAAGTTGAGCAGGCCAGCATCTTGTTTGTTGGCTTGCTTCATTGTCCTTACTCACCTTTCCAATTTGATAGAGATCCTTGACAATTATTTTTTCAGTATCTTCAAGTACTGTTGTCAATAAATTAAATAGGAGAGCAATCCAGGCAAGACCAAAAAGAATCCAAATGGCCACCAGTGTTCGGTAGTAGGAAAAATAATTCCTACCAGGCTGTTTACCTGCAGATAAGGGGAGAGAAAGAAGAAGAAAAATAGAAAGTTAAAATTGCTTTTCCTGTGTGAAGTGGGCCAGCTTAATGGATTCATCAATGTATTTTTCACTGAGTACTTTAAGGTGACTTTTCATTGTAGTGGAGGCTCCCACCTCCTGAGCGTTAGGTTAAGGCTGGGCAAGTCTCCTGTTGTTGCAATAAACTGATATATGCTAGCACAAACATGCTGGCCCCCAAAAAGATAAACTGGGGTTGAGACAAATTAGCAGCAGGAATTGAGATTGAGATGAGTTAGAGTAGGATATTTTTTTCCCCAATCCAAATTCAGCCTCCTTATCTACATGATGTGGGAAGTAGCGTAAAATTCCATTGTATTATCTTGAAAATATTCCCAAATGCCTAAAGCACAGAAAGCGGAGCACAGTGGGAGACTGCAACCATATGACTACTGCTACTTAGGTTATTGTAATTATGTGTATTTCTATAAAATGTGATTATAACCTCTATAAATATTTGCTTTAAATTACAGACACCCTTGATTATAAAAAGAGAGGATTGCATTTCTTACTTTACTTTTGAATGGGTTCAGGAGCTTCCTCCATTAAAAAATGAGGTGACTGATGAGAACTCACTGACACATGCCAAGAACACAAATTTCTGTGTCAGAAACTACTGGGCCGAAGCTTATTTCGTGCAGTCCAAACCTCTTAGCATCAGTGAGTATCGCACACCCACTTTTCTGCATGGGTCATTTCTTTTGTTTCTTCAGATGTCAGCAACCCACCACCTATATACTGAGAGTATTTGCTCTTACTGCACTTAGTCCTACACAACATTATCGTCATGCTGATATGGCTGATGTCATGGCTGATATCACAGCTGATACGGCTCTGGCACCTGCAGGAAAACCTGGTGATATTTCTTATTGAGTGCTGTAAGTCACTGACAAGGGTAACTCCACATAGTAGATAATACAGCAATGTGCATGGATAGTGAGATCACGACAAACCTGGTGGATCATTTCCCACTATGAAGCTGCCCAGAAGAAGCTAAAATGCTGGCAACTCTTTTCAAGTCCTTCAGTGCTCTATACTGCATAGATCAATGTGCAGGATTTTTGTACTTCATCATGCAGAAGCTCTGGAAATAGGGCAGGAGTGGGCTGGTTTGTCCAACAGCTGTTTCTTTTTCTTCTGCTGGGGTTGAGTTGACAGAGGGGATGCCAGCCTTTCTTGTGTTCTTGTCTGAAGTTCGTGTTATGAGGTTAGCAAAACAACTAGTAATATCTTTGTAATGTTAACTCAAAACTGGACTTCGGCAGGGCATAAAGTCAGTTTACAGCCCAAGGGGAGTTTCACCCAAGAAGTATCACCTCTGTGTACATGTATTATAAACAGCTAAATTCAGACTCTGCCCTTTTCCTAGGATATCTCCCTGTCCAAAACAGGCTTATCTCATGCTTGAAGTGTAACAGCAACAAACCCATTTTTAATTACAAACATGCAAATAAACTCAAACCTGTTCTGTTCCACCTGGCCAGTGCAAATCCATTTGACATCTGTAATCAATTCTAAATGCATAATACTCAGAGCAGTCATTGATTCTACTTATTTCATTGTGAATGTGTGAGACATTAAACTCATCATCATTTTATCACTGTTATTTAAGGCTGATTGAGATAAATACTGCAGGGAAAAATTTTTCAGCTCCTGTTAAGTCATCCTAATGAAGATGAATTCACAGAGCCAGAAGGCCTATCTAATTGTTATTTTTTGACTGTATTTGTAAAATCATATTGCTAGAGGAGGAAAGTGCTGGTAGTGGAGGTAGTGATTTTCACGCTGTGACTTGCTGTCATTATTTTAAAACACATTTGTAATTTGGGCAAGGGAAGACGTCCAGTTTGATGTTCACTTTTTCTCCTGAATGGCATGAGCCACTCTCCACCCTCCTGTATTCCACACTGAAGTTTGAGATGCTCAGTGTCACATAGGCCAGTGCTATCAGTCCTACAGATGGTTAGGTAAGAAATGCCTCTGCCCTATTTCCTCCACTGCAGTGACAAAGCTTGGCCTCAGGTGGAAAAAACAGTGAGCAAAGAGGCCATTGTTGTGTGTTACAGGTTCCTTGCTGATGCCTGAGTTTTGTGTCATGTTCATGGCAATATGGTTTAACCATTGTTGGAGACAAAGAATCTTTCTCTGGATTATGTGAAAAGGGGAATTTCAGGGAACACTGTTTTCCGGTGCTTTGTAGCAAGAGGGAGCAGTTAGCTGGCTGGGATCACTTGGGGAAATGTGGCCTAATCAACTCACTGCCATTGCATGAATTAACCATCAGCCAGGCAACACAACCATTACAATCACTGAACTCATACAAACAAGCAAGATGTCAACTGGATCCTCAAAGCACCACCCAGCCTCTTCAGCAGACTCAGAGAAATTAAGGTCAGCAGGGAACATCAGTGTCTGGAAAAGCTTGTGGGCTCCCTCTGCCGAAGTCCTCATCCTGATGTAAGAAATCATTCAAACACACAGCAAGGCTTCCAGCCAGTCTCCAAGACCCCTCTTGCATCTCTGCAAGGCTTTAGAGCCTACGGTTTGTTATGTGGTGGACGTCTGTCCATCAGAAAGGGATGTGAGGCTTCCAGATCCTCTGTAGGGATAGCACTAGTTCTCAACTATTAGCTTCAGAGCTTCCTTCTCATATCCCCACTGGGAATACCAGGCTGGAAAGGTACTGGCAGGACAGGTTGTTGAGGAGAAATCTTCGATTCTCCATGGAGTCCGGTGTTTGATTGCTTCTTCTGTGGACACTGATTTGGCTAATTGTAATAATTTCGGAGTTCGTCTGGAAGCTTATTGCATGTGGAGTGTATTTTGGTCAGCAGATTCAGGGAAGTGTTTCAAGATGCACTCCAGCACCATAGAGCCTCCAGTGATGCACAGGAGACTAAAGAAGGCCACTTTCACAGTGACATACATGTTTAAGCCCCACTTCTCATAGAGTGAGTAGATCTCCCCATTTTCCCATGAGTGGGATTTCCATCTCTCAGTCTGTTGTGTAAACCCACGTCTTCTGAAACATGACCACTTATTTCTTTACACTTTGAAACATAAGTCTTAGATGGCTAAAGCAGGAATACATGCCTTATTTTGTGTGACTGTCACAAATTGCTCCCTTCTGTTATATGCAAATTCCTAGGCTCCTTGAATTCTCCCCCTACACTTCTGCTTCCCTCCCCAAAATACTTGGCTTCTTTTCACCCCAAAGCACCACATTTCATTATATTTAGACAACTTTGTGCTTTTGTCAGCACATGCAATCCTAGAGAAATGAGTATTTCCCCCAAAAACATACAAGGCAAAGACTAGTCAAAGACTCAGACAAGATTTTTCTCTACAGTACGTTGGTGGCCTATACAGTCAACCCATGGTAATTACAGTCATAAATCTAGTGCTTTGCTGTGTCTCCTCTCTGAAATCAACCTTACCTACTACATAGTCTCCAAAGCCAATGGTGCTGAGGGTGATAAATGCAAAGTAAATTCCTTCACTGTAGGACCAGCCCTCCGTTATCTGGAAGAAGACTGATGGCAAGCACAGAAAAACTAGGATCCCCGTTGCCAGGAAGAACAAAAGGGTCAGAAATTTGATCTTCTTCTGAAAAAGAAACCAATTCAATTATAATCATGATTTGACACACTAGCAGGCCATACATGATGATGGCTATGCAGAATGGGTGGCTATCCAGGAATACCCACTAGGACCACAGGAACTGAAGGAGTTGTACTAAGTGCTCTTCCTCTGAAGGTTCCCTAGCCTTGCTCTGAAACAGGAGAAAGCTATGTATTATGGATGTTGAAAGTCCATAGCAGCCCTGGGGAGATGTAGTCTTTTATCTGGTTGTATCAACTTCCAATGACCATGAGTATAGGAGGAATTCCTATCCAATGACTTTTACAGGAGTCAGACTGTTTCCACTTCTCACAAGACAACTTCACTTTTAATTTTTAGGTATTCAAGTATGGCACCTAAGAATGTTCCAATTTGCCTGGGAGAACAGACTTTAAAAAAATATTTACAGCATTTCTGACAGTACTATCTTCAAGAGTCCTGACTGTTGACTTTATTTCTCATTGCATCAGTGCCAAACTTGACTCCTACCCAGTGGATACTTTACTACAAGAAGACATCTAACAAATGACCTCCTGATGAAGAAGTGCCCGGACAGTGACTTTTGAACCATCCTACTTCCCAGCAGTCATGAAGAAGCCTTCACTGGAGAAAAAGACTTGCTACATATTAAGATTTATCAGCCAGACACACATATAGTTTATGTATAAAATTTTATACATCCAGATTGTCTGGAAAACAATGGTAACTGTCTGATAATTTTTCATGGATTATGCATGTGCTTGAGTATATATCCGATCAAGCCTTAAGTTCTATTTCAGTTCAGCAGACATGAGGAGAAATTTAGCAATTTGAACAGGGTTTTCTGTAGCATTCATACCTTGTCCTGAAAGAGGATTACAGTAGGAGACACAGAAAAGCTATTTTGACTTCCTCAATAGTGGTGAAAGAAGAGGAAGAACTGAAAATAACTTGGGGCATAACCAGGCAAGACACATCCTGTCTCTATGCCTTTACAGGTGCCTCCTCATCTTTCAACAGCTGGGCTCAAATGGACAACGTCAGTCTGAATTTTCCTTTCTGTCCAAGTCAAGGGAGGAGAGGGATTAAAGGACTTCTTAATGAACGAGGAGGGGTGACACACTAGTCATTGAGTCAATATCTATTGAAACTCCCTACAGCTCACCTGCTTTTTACAGCTTTTGAAACTCACCTGCTTTTTGCTGCCTCAAGATGCTTAATGATCTCTCTCTTTACTGGTTATAAAGGGTGACAGGTACTTCCCTAGAGTGTTAGCTCCAGAGATAAGTGTCTAGGAAGTGGGATGAAGCGCCCACTCTGTCGATTGCTGAAGGGGGCTGGATGTCTGCTGTTTAGATTGGTAAACAAAATTTATCCCTTTCTCTGAATATCTCCTCTATGGTTGCCTTGTCTGTTTAGTTCTGCAAATGAAGAATGTCTCTTTCCCTCTCTTAGCACAATGTCTAATAAAGCATTAGAACAACAGTAACAGAAGATAATGCCAGCATATATCTTGAGAAAAAAACCTAGAAATGACCATATAAACATGCCTGAGTAAGTAAAACCAAGTACCTTTCTCATTCCTTTTTCATGAAGAAATTTCCCCAGCTTTTTACACAGCAGTGAGAGCATCTTACCGACACGGTGCAGAAAAACAATATTCAGAGGGATTCCAAATAGAGCAAAGAAGACACAGAAGATCTGGCCCCCAGCAGTTTTAGGACGTAGTGTGCCATAGCCTATGAAAAAAGATGGTTCAGACGAGATATTCCAGAGAACTGGAGCAGTCCACTTTCACACCTACACAAATATGGCCTGCCTTTGACGCCAAAAGATGCGTATAGTACTTCTCAGTCCACATGCACTCTTTTTTCTCTGAAAAAGGCAGTAAGCAGATTAAGTGATTCATGCTGCATGTTTTGGGAAATGCAGAGAGCACTGTGTGCTCCCAATCCAGCCTTAGTAGGAATGAAAGCACAATCTAAAAGCAGTTATGGAAAACGTGCTCTGTCCTGTGACAAATACATGGGAAGACAGAAACCAGAAGTCTGGGGACCTGGAAGACATCAAGGCTGGAGTCCCAGGCTGTTTGCTCTGTCAGAATCACATATAGCCATCTCTAGCTTCTTGCCAATCTGCCTGTGTGTTAGTGACCTCTAACTGGCTAAATGGTTGGTATGTCCAGATACTGGCTCCAGTCCTAGAGGCAGTGAAGTGTGCATTAGAATAGACAATGCTAATTAGTCCAGATCTTACTGGTGGGTCATTTATTTATATCAGGGAGATATCTGTCTTAAAGTCCAACTAAAAGAGGATGTATCTAAGTAGTGGAACAACGGTTGTAGAACTCCAAACATGTCCTTTAATGGACTGGAGACTTTGTTCCTCTTAGATTCCATGAGGTACATCCCTGAGTGCAAGAGTCCTGTATTTTGTGTATGTCCTTACTTTATCAGTGACCCTGAGAAAAGGCACTTTCCCAAGCACAGTTCATCTCAAGGCATCCATTACTTGGAAAATGCGATGTTTTCTTTGGGGGAAAAGACAAATAAAACAGCTGAGTGATTTATTGACTACTAGGCCTCCACATGCTTGAGCTGTCTTTCTTGTTGCAGAAATATTCCATTTTCATCACAAAACCTGGTGAAGATGAGTGGAAGTATCTGATGTACTTTCACAACAGACCTATGTGGCAGAGGTGCAAAGAAACAGGCAAAGTTGCACTTTTCCTGGGACAGCCTGTCTGCCTCACTAGGGAAACAAATTTGACTGGAAGCAACTGATTTGTTTGGCAGAGAAATGCTGTAATGAAAAAATACAGTAATACAGGTGGTGGCAAGGAATGGATTGTCCAGTAGCAGAGTGCTGACAAACTAGGGAAGCTTTATTGATATGTGAATGTCATGGAACATTTGTTGTTCATGTGATGGGTCAGAAGCCTTTCTTTCTTCTGCAGCAGGAGGTCTCCACAAGGGTTCATGTAACATCTACACACCTTCCACTGGGGCCCTTGTGACATGTCACGCTCACAGATCAGCAGAGCAGCTGTCCTGAGGGTGTAGTGGGAGCAAGGCCCCAGCTTCACTCTGCAAAATCATAGATTTGACTTTTACAGCATAAGAATGTGAAGCAGCAGCTAACAGTGTGGGTTTTATATTTAAATTTGGCAGGCCTGCACTTTTTGGGATGCATACTTGAGAAAAAGGGAGAGGCAGGGGCACGCCCTTCAGGAAAAGGTCAGAACAGCTTGAAGCAGCAGTGTGGAAGTCTCAGCATTTACTTTGCCTCCTTCCCATCTATTTCCCTCCGAGCATATTACTAATTCAATATGTGCACTAAAAGCTTAACACAAGTTATTGACACAGTGTCCATGCCCCAGCAGAATTCAGTTATTTCCTAACATTCTTTTATGCTTTACAGCACTCTTGGATTTAAAGCCTATTTGACCCTAGAATAAGATCAGAAAAGTGAAGTTTATCTCCCACCCACAACTGGCAGCAGAGGGAACATTTTAACAGATAGCTGAAAAAGAAGAAACGAGCGGGAAATAATGTCAAAGGTCACTGGTATTTCACAAGCCAAAATAACGCACAAAGAGCTGTGCAGCCATGAGGTCTCAGGACCGAGTCTGTTGCTGCTTACGATCCATGACAATGCAGGGCTGGAGTTTTTCTAATTGAAAGTATTATCCATTCAGGTTCTAATAACCAGACATAATAACACCACACACACACGAACACACATACACGGAAAGCGTTAGACCTACCTATTGTGGAGACAACCGTGCCTGCAAAGAAGAAGGAGTTACTGAAATCCCAATTGCTGTCTTCAATCTGTGATTCATTTCCAACAGGGTATACTCCATTCTGAATGGCTTCAGTCAGGTTCTGGAAGGGAAAGCAAAGTTTTATATCAACATGGCTGCTTTTCTCAACTGCTTGCTGCAAGAACACTACAGGTTTAGCCAACTACTGCTCCTTTTCTGTAAATACTATTCTCTTGTCCTCAGCAATACCCTGACACTATTCACACCTTTACCTCCAGGCTGGGGAGCAGCCAGCCAGGGGTTTTGAGTGTTTTTATAGTGTTTTGTCCTGTTTATACTGACTAATCTGGTGGATGTTAGGAGAACGTGTTTCTTTTAGCATGATCAAGGACCTCAATTCTTTTAGGCTAAGTACTTCAGAAAAAATTATCCTATAGATGACAGGATGTGGCAGATTAAGACGGCCTATTGGCTTAAGTGATGGGGTGGCTGGTTGCTGGGTTTGAGTTTGCCCTTGAGATGGCAGTGGTGGATCCATGATCTAATTACCCAGCTGTATGCAGTGTACAGAGTAGTTACTCTGATCTCTCCCAGGAGGGCATCAATGAGTTAGAGCAAGGTACACGTGACATAAACAGAGATTTTCATTTTAAGGCTGCATTGTGATTAGTCTCAAAGATTTGAAATTCAGAGAAGGTCCATTGATTTGCAAAGCATTACTCTTGGAGAGACCACAATCAGAATTCAGCCTGCTATATACACTCTTCTCCAAACTGCATGCATGAACACACCTATTTACAATACGGTCTTTGAGGTGGGGTTTGATGAACATCTGTCAGAGATGGTTTGGTTTGGGTTGAGACTGCCCTGCCACGGGGGATCTGACTAGATTTTTCTCCCAAGCCCCTCCAACCCTATCATCTATCATGTTATGCATTTTCAGATTCTTCCTCTTCCCTTCTTCCTTGGTTTTAAGTACGGGGCGGGGGTTAAAGTTAAAAATAATAATAAAAAAAAAAACCCAAACACCATCCAGCTGTCCCTGCCTTTAGCAAACAGAGAACATTGGACTGGACATCTGGAAGGCAGGCTGGTTTGTACAGAAACAGTCTAGATAAAACCCAGGGCTGAGCCCTGCCAGAGGCAAAACATGAACTGGAATCAACTGCACCAGAAAAGTCTTCCCCCTGCTTCCTCCCTCACTATCTTTTTTGCTGGTATCCCAGAAAATCAAGGCTAACAGAAATCATTCCAAAGTCCTTGCACAAAGTTTCATTGTCTTGAAAAGTGTCTCTTTTTTTTTTTTTTGTCCTCTCTTACCCACAAAAAGAAGTCCAGAGTGAAGAGGGTACATGCATATGTGACCCAGGGGCTGAGTTGCTGGCTGCGTTACTAGACATACCAGCTTTCCCCTCCTTTCCTTATCCTAAAAGCTCTGTTAATTTCCCATGAGGAAATGCTTACAGCAAGGCTATTTGCACATCCTCAGCTTCCTCTGCTGTGACCAGAAACACCTTGCCCTTGGCCAGGCTATCTCTTTCACTTCTGCAGCGACTTTAAAGAGTAAACCCTGACTATGCCACCCTCCTTGTAGTGATTTGAGTTTCTTTTTTTCACCCAACAGGTAATTTCAGTGCCACCTGTGACACTGTTGTAAGCAGCCACCACACCCCTCCATTACAAACCCCCTTCTTTCTCCTGCCATGCCACCCACTGTGGATGGGCACAGCTCCCACCCAAAGCCAAACCAAAAGGAGGCAAAACCCCGAAGATTCAGGACACCAGGGGATGGGGACTGTGAATAGCTAACATGCAAGGTTCTGCCAAGCTACACAAGCTGTATTTACCACCAGCATGACCTGCGTGCTCAGACCAGAGAGAGCAGGCTAGGGGTTTGCTAAAATCATCCAAATGACCACATGAGTAGGAATGCAGTGGAAGCTACCCCGAGCAGCAAGGCTTGAGTAGGAAACAACATCTGATGGGCAAACAGGAGGGACAAAGGGCTTCCGCAGGGCTGGCACCTACCTTCATAAACTGCTCCATCTCCGCCACCGTGAGGTGAGTGAAGTTCTGCAGAAAAGCCTCTTTCATCTGGGCAGCAGCCATTTTCTCCTGCTTCTCGGCGGTTCTCTCCAGCACCTGGAACACAGCAGCACCCACAAGCAGGTAGACAAAGTAGCCGGCCACCAGCAAGCCCGTCTGCAGCTTGCCACTGCACATGGCCTTTGGTGGGACACAACAGGGGATGGGGAGTGAAAGGTGGCGATTGGTAAATCCCTTGTGCTCCTTGGAAGCCTCCCCCAGGCAGAAGGAGCCCTCCCAGCTCCGGTTTCCTCTGGGATCCAGCGCTGACAGGGACAGTGAGCTGTCAAATACATTAATGGGGAAGTTGGAAAAAAAACCCAAACAAACCCACCCCCCCCACCACAAAAAAAAAAAAACAAACCCCAAGAAAATCTTTCCACTCTCTGGGCTGCATGCTGTTTAGGGATTTCCTCTTGTTTGTGAAACTCTGCCTTGCTCAGTTCTCAGGAAAAGTGGGTCAGGATGTGAGGAGCTGGCAGGTGGCCATCTCCTGATCAAGAGGCTCTGGGGACAGGTGAGGATAGCCTGCAAAGAGCCCACAGGGGAGTTTGCTTGTAAAAACATCATTTTCCTCCTCTGCCTCCTGGTAACTCTGAGAACTGTACTCCAGGGCGAGCCCCGATAACCCCTTCTTGTCCGGTGCTCAGAGGCAGCTCCAGAGCAATGCAGCCGGGCGGCTCTGCTGTGCCCTTGCAGTGCAGGGCAGAGTCACACAGCCCGGCACTGCCAGAGCAGATCACAGCAAGACCTTGGACATAGAGAAAAAAATGGCTGCAGGTCATGTATGTTCCAGTCCTGGACGGGTTCTTCTGCCAACATGTCCTGTCCAGTGTATTCAAGAGAGGACATTGCAGTGTCACTGGGTGCACAATTAGATGGATTAAAAAAAACAGTTTTGCTTCTAGAAATGGAAGTTTTGCTTCCAGGATGGAGTACAGCTGCCGCTGGTATAGAGGGCCATTGCACAGTGTTCCCTGGATAATTGCTTATGAAGCTGCACGAGGGTGGGACAGAGAGAAGACTCTGTGGCCAACCTCTGTGATAACAGTGTGGCAGATGGGAGCTGGAGGGTACCATGGAGCTGATAAGCTGCACAATTACCGCCCTGGGCCAAGAGTCCATCAGATTTTGACAAAATGCTGTCCTTCGTGTGAACTTTGGCCATTATAATGTCATTTTAATACCAAAACACACCTCCATCCCAAAGGCTACCCGCCTCCAAGGTGCAACCACTCCTCCCTGAGTTTGCGCCCTGGACTTTTCGTAAACTATACCTTTAAATGTGAGGTGAGAGAATTTTACATCAATCATAATAAAGGTATTATGACTAGAGTCACTCAAGCTCCACCTTGAAGCTAAAAAACAATATAAAAATGGCTCAAAACGGGGAATGTCAGGGAAGATACCATCAGGGAGTCCGGACGTTTTCCTTGGGAACCTTAGAAACATTTATAGGATTGCTTTTGATTTAATGCATGTTACAGCCAGGCTGTATTATTTATAATCCTACTATTTGCATGTGATTTTGTGGTCAGTAAATTTTCACCGGCAAACCAAAGGAACCTATACTTCTATTGCTTTAAGAAACTGTACTATTCCTTAAGTAAAAGTTTCTCACTGGATGCCACCAAACTCTCTAAATTATGGCCATGTGAGTCCATGTAGTGCAACTAAGCTGAAAGTGCGGTACACTATTTAGTGCATCCGAATCATAATCATTCAATAAATTGAACACGACTGGACTAATAGTGCCAAACTATTTCCCCCCCTCCTTTCACGCAGCAAGGTGCTGGAGCGTGGATACAAAGAAGAGCAATGAAGCTGGTGAAGGGTCTGGAACACAAGTCTTGTGAGGAACGGCTGAGGGAGCTGGGGGTGTTCAGCCTGGAGAAAAGGAGGCTGAGGGGAGAGCTTCTCGCCCTCTACAACTCCCTGAAAGGAGGTTGTTGTGAGGTGGGTGCTGGTCTCTTCTCCAGGTTTAGGTTGGATGTTAGGAAAAATTTATTCACCAAAAGGGTTTTCAGGCATGGGAACATGCTACCCAGGGAACTAGTTGAGTCAACATCCCTGGAGATATCTAAAAGACATTTAGATGTGGTGCTTCGCGACATGGTTTTAGTGGTGGAGTTGGTAGTGTTAGGTTAATAGTTGGACTCGATCTTAAGTATCTTTTCCAACCAAAACAATTCTGTGATTCTATGGCTCTATGAATCTGATGGCAAAACTGTTTTTTTTAATCCATCTAATTGTGCACCCAGTGACACTGCAATGTCCTCTCTTGAATACACTGGACAGGACATGTTGGCAGAAGAACCCGTCCAGGACTGGAACATACATGACCTGCAGCCATTTTTTTCTCTATGTCCAAGGTTTTGCTGTGATCTGCTCTAATTATGAGAAGACGCTGAAGCAAGTCAGCCTTTGAAGATACATTTAAAATGTGCACTTACTCTGATCTTCAAGCCTTTGTGTTTTTACTGAGTTTGAAATTACAAGAAAAGGCAGAGACTCTGCGATTAGCTGCACAGTACTGGTGTAAACAAGAAGTAGGAGAAGGCTTCATTCTGTCAAGTGCAGGTTGTCCTTTCACACATAAATCTGTTTAACCTCAGAGGAAAAGAGGAACACTATGAATGAAGGTAAGTAGCTTTGCAAACCCTTAAAAGTTTAAAGAATTTCTTTAGATTTACTGGAAAAAGGTTTGTAGAAACAGGATATGTCATGTTTCCGTTCACTACAGGGTGTCAATCTTCCTCAGATTTAAACTATTTCTATACAAATAATGGTATCTGTGGCTTCACCCTTTTGTATCTCTCAGGCTTTCGGCCCTATGAGAGAAGAGTAATCCCTTTACATATTCAAATGCAGTATTTCCTCATTTGCACAGCCGACAGGAAGATAATACAGGTGGATACTTTCCTCAATACATCTGCGGGGAAAAGTAAGCTGGTTTTCCCTCTAGCCCCATCTTCCCATCTTCACGTTCATGCATCTCCGGAAGTCCTTGACTGCAAGGAAGCATTCAGGAGATCGGTGATGCTTGTTTTCTATTAGCTCTGGAACTGCGAATAAACATCAGCTTTTCTCAGTCTGTTTCTTCATACCTGCCTGAGAATCTTTGACATGAGGGGAGTGTCCCATCACAGAGCATCTTGTTCATACTAGGGTTGATACTCACATGTATGAATGAAGGAGAGAAAGCACACTATCTGTTCACTATTGAGATCTTCACAGATAAGTTGCTTTGGGGAAGAAAGGAAGGCAGAACCCCTATTAAGCCACTTTCCATTATATTAGAGAAGTCGTGGCAGTCTGGTGAAGTTCCCACTAACAGGAAAAGGGGAAACATAACCCCATTTTCAAAAAGGGAAAAAAGGAAGACCCAGGCCAGTCAGTCTCACCTCTGTGCCTGGCAAGATCATGGAGCAGATCCTCCTGGAATCTCTGCTAAGCACGTGGAAAATAAGGAGGTGATTGGTGCAGCCAACATGGCTTCACCAAGGGCAAATCATGCCTGACAAACTTGGTGACCTTTTACAATATTACCACAGCATTGGTAGACAGGGGCAGAGCAATAGACATTATCTACCTGGACTTATGCAAAGCATTCGACACTGTCCCACATGACATCCTGGTCTCAAAATTGGAAAGTCATGGATTTGATGGATGGACCACTCTGTGGATCAGGAACTGGCTGGATGGCCACACTCAAAGGGTCAATGGCTCAATGTCCAAGTGGTGGCCAGTGACGAGTGGTGTTCCTCAGGGGCCAGTACTGGGACCAGTGCTGTTTAACATCTTTGTTGGAGACATGGACAGTGGGATTGAGTGCACCCTCAGCAAGGTTGCCAATGACACCAAGCTGTGTGGCACGGTCAACACGCTGGAGGGAAGGGATGCCACCCAGAGAGACCTGGACAGGCTGGAGAGGTGGGCTTGTGCAAACTTCATGAAGTTCAACCAGGCCAAGTGCAGGGTCCTGCAGCTGGGACATTGCATAGCCAGGCACAAATACAGGTTGGGTGAAGAATGGCTGGAGAGCAGCCCTGAAGAGAAGGACTTGGGAGTGTTGGTGGATGAGAAGCTTGACATGAGCTGGCAATGTGTACTGGCAGCCCAGAAAGCCAAGCCCATCCTGGGCTGCATCAGAAGAAGCACGGTCAGCAGGTTGCGGGAGGTGACTCTACCCCTCTACTCTGCTCTCATGAGACCCCACCTGGGGCACTGTGTCCAGCTCTGGAGTCCTCAACACAGGAAGGACATGGGCCTGTTGTAACAGGTCCAGCTGAGGGCCAAGAAAATGATCAGAGGGCTGGAGCACCTCTACTATGAGGACAGGCTGAGAGAGTTGGGCTTATTCAGCCTGGAGAAGAGAAGGCTCCAGGGAGACCTTATAACAGCCTTCCAGTATCTGAAAGGGGCTACAGGAAGGATGGGGAGGGAACTCCAGCCCTGGTTTGGGCTGGAGGGGGATCCTGGGCCATTGACAGGGTGAAAGGAAGCCCTGGGGGGCTGGTCAGGGCCCTGACAATTATGCAGACAACGTGTCTCATAAGGCAGTTAATACTTTTTGTTCCTAAGCTAGGAGAGACACCTGATGCAGTTACGGGACCAGGGAAAGAGAAATGACGCAGAATTCTCACACATGCATTATTTACCCATTCCATTGCAGGGAAACCCACGTAGTGAGATCCGGTGGTAATGGAGGGCAGGGAGCATTTCCTGCCTGTGACACAATGTGCTGGGACAGGATTTTCTTATGCCAAATCCTGCTCTTGCTCCTCCCCAATCCCATCGAAACCACAGTTCAGCTATTTCCTTTTTCTATGTGTGGCATTAGCTGTCTTGCTGCATCCTTATGCATTCTGTGTCCTTAAGCAGATTATAGCTTAAAATTAATTCCAGTTTAATGGAAAGTGTTATCAGTTGCCATGGAAATGACTTATGATATGTTTCTGGTTGTACTTCCTGTTTTGCTTAGGATTAAAACCATTAAGTGACCCTCATTTTTACACTTTCTTACAGTTCTATAAATATCCATTACTCATAACTGTGGCCAGAACACTCAGTCTTCTAACACGGGTAATTTTGGGTTTTATACCAGACTATAAAACACTTACACTAAATCTTTCTTCAGCAGAGATCCTGAGACCTCTTGTTATTTAAGATCTGTAAATTCAAATTCCTGTGGATAACTCTCAACTGTCAAGGAAATGGGTTGATTTCCATGAGTGAAGAAAATGCTGAAGCTGGTCACTTGTCTTGGCTAGCTGGCCGATACTGAGATAAGAACAGGAGGTATGCAGCAGGTAAGGACTGCTGTGCCAAGCAGCCCAGCATGGAAAACTGCCCGAGTGCTGGGTGACTCCTGGCCACAGTGTTGGCAACTATAAACAGCCCCTCCTTTTGTTCGGGAATACATCTGCTGTCATTAGCAGCTCATTTGGGGATGTGTGCTGGCTCTTCCTTTGTTAACGATATACATTAGAGATTCAAGTCATGCAGTTTTGTACAAACCCATCTATGCTATTGTTATCATCAAAGACGCCCCCCCACCGTCAGCAGTGCAACATCTAACAATATTTGGACAACACTTGCGTTACTGGTAGATCCACCTAAAGGCCTTCAGAGCAATGGAAACACCTGCACTGTAAAGACTCCCTACTGCACAACAAGGTCACCAAGGCCATTGATTTGATCCTCATTGTCAGAAGCAGAGCAACAGAGAGAATTTGGGTTAGGAAAGGCCTGCAGAGGTGTTTTGGCTAGCCCTCTACTCCAAGCAGGGCTAGCACCAAGGTTAGGACATGTCAATCAGGGTCTTGTCCTGCTGGACTTTTAACGTTGCCAAAGGAGGAGACTCCTCACCCTCTGCAGCTACCTCTTCCAGGCCTTACCTGATCTCACGGCCTACTTCCCTTGGTGCAACATGTGACCGTTGCCTTACATTCTTTCACTGTGCACCCCTGAGCAGTGGAAGACAGCAATCAGCAAAATGCTCCCTGACTCGGTGGCAGCTTAGCTGCCAGCACCCTATGCACGCCTTCCCCAGCAAAGTGATGCATGGCCACTCACAGACACAGCGTTTGTTCAAACAAGTGATTTATTAACATCTTTGTACAGGGTAAAGCTCCAAAAGGGAACGGGGTCTCTCAAAGAGGGAGGGTGATTGCTGTCCAGGTGGTAACAGGAGTCTCTGTTGCAAGGCTCCTTGCAATGGCCTCTTCAGCTGCATCAGCTCCCACTCCCCAGAGCGTGCTTTTCCTGTGGAGAGGTGCGGCAGCAGTTCCCACCGCTGATTGAGCAGCGTCTTCTCTGTGTCCAACGTGCTCGTTTCTGCGGCACCAGCTCCCCAGGGAGTGTCTTCAGGCCTGAGGCTGTGCCTCAATAATTGTATTGGTGCCGCAGCACAGGTCTCTATAGGCCACAGCCTGCTGTTGCTAACACTGGCCTACTCGATGCTGAGGAAGGTGTATCCTCGCTGCACTCCAAGCACCATCTCAATCAGGATGGTATTACCAGAAGCGTTCGTCAGCTGGATCTTACAGGAGTATTTGGAGGGCAGCACTATCGTACGCCAGTATGTCGGCTGAAGCAAAACCACTGAGGCTCCTTTTACCAGTATCTGGAACCAGCGGGTGGTTTTCTCTCTGTCCAGGTAAGGGCCAGTGCAGAGGGTGTCTAGGAGGCTGGGACCCTGATTTCTCCTCAGCTCCTCCTTGGAGCGATGGAGAAAGCACAGCATGTTCTCCTCCAGCTGCTCCCCTGCGCAGGTGCACTCCAGCTCCACGCGTGTTCTGTAGATGTTTCCCAGTATCTCCCTGGTGTCCAGCTCCAGATGGAAGTTGTGCCCACGGGGGGGCTTCAGGGGCACAAGCATGCAGTAGACAGCATGATGCTCATGGGGACCCCAACTTTCCGAGGTGGTGGCCATTCTGATGGCTGGCTGCGGTAGTGGCATGAAACTATCACCGCAGTGTTTTCGGCAGATACATAGAAGTTCACGTACCAGCTTGTCCACCGCTACCGCTGGGAACGAATCAGACAGACCCATGAAGGGTGCGACCGATGCTCTCCGCACATCCACTACAAGACTCTGTCTCCTTTCATACTTGTCCATGGTTCTAGCATTGTCCTTGGTTCTGGAATCGTCGCTGCTGCTGTCTGTCTGCTGGATCCTTTTCCTGAGCCACCACCAGAAGCTCAGGATCAGTACCAGCATTACAGCAATCACCCAGAACTGCCACTGATGCAAGGTGGCAAAGCGCGGGGCGCTCCTGCCCAAGTGGCTCTGCTGCTCCAGCTCCTGCAGCAGCCGATTCATCTGCTGGGTCAGATACTCCTCACGCTGCTGCATGAGCTCGTGCGTGTCCTCGTCCAGCTCATCCCCCACCATCTGCGGGAACTGGAAGACGCTTTGCACAAGCAAGGCAAGGAACAATATGGTAGCCATGGCCTGCAGGAGTAGGGAGAGAAGGGGTTGAGCGGGGCTGGGAGGGAAGGAGGGAGCCAGCGGCAGGGGGAGCAGGGACGGGAGCCGCAGGGAGCTGGGGGCAGGTGGGAGAAGGAGCGAGGCAGTCGGGAGGGCCCAAGGCCTGTGCCCGGCCCTGCCGGCGGCGGCACCACCAGGCCCTCCCTCCAGCAGCTGGGCCCTTGATGCTGCGTGAGAACCTACCCCCCTGGCGGCCCTGGCCCTGGACCAGCCCAGCCTCCCCCCGCGAGCCCACTCACCACCATCCCGTGCCGTATGGGGCCCATGCTGTCTGAGGGGCCCGCGCTGCCTGATGGCCCCCTTA